AAAAAAAAAAAAAAAAAAAAATAAGATAAGATTCGTAGAAAGAACTGCGACGATCGTTGGGAACAAACCTTTCGAATCATTAGCAACTTGGCACAATCTTACAAGTCTTCACCGAAAGAAAATAACTTATTGTTACGAAGCCCGTGGATTTTATACTGCGTTCCAAGTGCGGGTGCAACGAAATGGAGATGGAATCACAGTGATTTGGGGGAACTTTAATACAAATCCATACCTATAATTATCGTTAATAATAAAACCGCATTGCCATTCTGGCTGTGCAGCAGTTTGGCGAGTTCGTGAACATGAGTTCCTGAATCGTTGAAATTCTTACCATTTTCGGCGCGGAATTATTCAAATGACGTTTTCAAATTGTGAAATATTTAAAATCGAAGTTCGTTACATAAATAATGCGTTTATTGTTATAGAAATCGGAACGAGGACATAATGCTCTCGTTAAACATAATCGACGTGCTCAAGAAGATTAACGAAGAAAAAGAAAGTTACTCGAGGTCTTTTTCTTCGCTCGCTTGTGCAACGTATCACTATTGTTATTATATAGTTTACTTATATTTTTTTTTATACGTACAATACAACCTTTCGATGCCGTGAATACGTATTTCCGATATCAAACGTTGTTTACGCGATGGGATAATTTTTTTTATAAGCTACTACGTATGCATATAAAAGTGAAAACTCGTTTGTAAACGCGACTGATCCCCTATTCAATTAATTGATTTTGAATTATTTAATAATTTCGAATTACTAATATGATGTAACAACGAATCTTCTATACGTACAGGAGTATATATATATATATATATATATAAAATCTTTCGATTCCTTTAAACACGTTCGATGACTTTGTGCGTATTCACGTAGAATTGAGTTAAACATAATTAAATACGATAATGATAATGTTAATGCACGATATCGTGATATTTGAAAAGTTCAAACATCTATAATACTGTTGCGTTTCTTTTCGACGTCCGTAGAGTCCAGATCGTTCCCAAGGCTACCAACTCGTCCTCTCAGGCCAATTCCAGGACCAACTTGACCCGTGGCTTTTAACTTCTCTTGCATTTGTGCGAGCATGTCCTGCATTCTTCGTATCTGCGAAGATGAACAATTCTGTACTATTTACAAGTAAGGAAATATAAATGGATAATGGATGTATTGGATTCAGTTAGAAAGCATTCGTATAACATGTGAAGGGCTGAGAATCATAGTGATGACGTTGCTTTTAAAATTATATTTTTAAC